TTCTCTTAAAAAGAAAGTTAAGAAAAAAAATTTACCTAATTGAGTTTATTAAGTTCAGGCTATATTTATCTGGGTTTATTAATGTAAGACCACGGGTTCAAAGTTCAAACCAAAAGAATCCCATGCCAAATCCTGTGTTAATGAGTTGCTTGCTGCCTAGTTTTGCAAGTCATTGTGAATAAATTTTCTTGTTCAACGAGAGAAATAGCAACCTATAAGTTATTAATCGTTGATGATTAAAAGGCTAAGTGAATTTCAACAGATATAAACGTTCCAGCATTAAAGAGAATCTAAATTGAATTCACAGTAGAATTTTCTCCAGATAATTTTGTTTTAATCCGATATGTACTTTTTTCCTATTATTAGAAGAAGCAAAGAGAATGAACCAGAGAAGAAGCAAATAGATGCCAAACTGAAACTTTATTTCACAACATTCCACTTCATTCATATGATGGAATCGTATCTTACATTTTAGGCAGATGCCCAATACATTACAAGTTTACAACAACATGTTTATGAGAAGCAAAAGCTTTCAATTTTACACCAAACGGTAAAAATAAGTTTTCCTCATGAGCAAGGAAGAAACAGGTACAACATTTTATCATTGATAATTCCAATCACATGGAGGATATAAATTCAAATTATTAAGGACACAAGCCGGGATCCGAAGAACAGATACCATATGCAGCTGCTAAGATTTCCCAGCTCAGAGAAGAAAGGTTCTATCAACAGACTCCAGCAGAACAGATTCAATAGTAGACTTTGAAGCATGGCCTACCTTGCAAAGTGCTGCACAGCAAGGAGACCGACCTCGTCAAATCCATCCAGCAAGAGAGAGGCAAGAACTATTTCTCAATCTACAGTAACAAATAAATGGGTGCTTGCTAGGGGAGTCTCTGTTCAAGTTGACTACTCACTTGACAGCACAAAGATCTCAACAGACACCGCTACTTATGATGTGACTCCACCAAGCCAACTAAAGAACCAAACCACCAAAACAAGATTATTTGTCTTCAATAATACATGCAGCACAAGACGTTTATTGTCTTCCCCCCTCTTTCTCCAGAAAACCACCAAACTGGCAGAGAGGACCGAATATGAATCATCATATTTTACATTCAGCAATTGGTGAGACCGAGCAGATTAGAAAGGCATGTAGGTGAAGATAAAAGGTACCATAATTCTTACATTGCTGCCTGGCTGCCTTGAATTATAACAAACACAACATCTTAACTCTTAAGTTCTTAACCACAATTACAAACCGGAATATCTGTAACTGTTTCAGTCTAGTCATGGAGATGGATGTTGCCAATTTGTTGGAGAGCAGGTAAATTGGATGGACCGATCATCCTATTTTGTCTTGCAAGTTGAAGCCTCCAACAGTTGGAACAAAGCAACTCCAAACAAAAAGTTTCCTCATACTCACTATCATTGATGCACCGACCACACTGAACACAACGTGCTATGCAGAGGGTGCATGCCCTGCATAGCTGAGCATTATGCTCTTTCCGCTGACAACCCTCCGCAGGACAATCATAAACAAGCCTCATATTCTGGCATCTAGGGCACATGTCAATATCGATAGGACGATCATCCTCACAAGAGAGATACACATTTCCTCTGTTATAAAAATGTGGCTTCTGGACATTCTGCTGAACCTGATCATCCATGCCCAACAAGAACTTCAGCTCTTCAAAATGCTTTTGTGTCCCACCATAGAGCCCGCCAATCCTCAAATGCTTCACTCCATTAGTGCCCATAGACTTCAAAGCTTTTAGGCAATTCAAAATACCCTCAATACTTAGCTTTGTACATCCAGGTACACTCAGCTGCAAGTCGGATGGAAATTAGTAGCTTACAATTAAAAAGCAAAAATTCAACTAAACATAAAAATGCAGAAAAATTAGAGTGAACCAAAATGTTTCAGACTCACATAAACTACTACAAAAAAGATACCTTTCCCAAGTTAAACATGATCAACCATGAAATTTCCCAATTAAGTTTTTTTTTTAAAAAAAAAAAAAAAAAAAAAAAACCTTCAAAAGAAAACATACGGCAAACTAATCCATAGTTAGGCAACATATATACTAGCGATAGAAGGTAAAACATTTAATGGAACAAACCTTTGAGCAATTCAGTTGATCATGTTCATGTTGGGTTATGCAACAGCAGAAGAATCACAAAAGATTAATTCATATGATGCCATGGAAGCATGTCAGTCATATATTCAAGTGAATATAATCGTATGTGTGATATCATTAAAAGCAGACAAACATATAGATGAATAAGAACACGAGAAATGAGCATATACACAACCCAAATTTCAGAGTGAGATGAAGGTTTTGAAGCAACAAACTAACCTTGACTAACTTAGGATTTTTTTCAACCACACGCTTAAGGCCCTCATCAGTAATCCGTTGGCAATCTACCAGGCTCAAGCATTGCAAGCTACCTTGGGCCCTACTAGTTACTTGCAAAAGAACATCATCAGTAATCTTCTCGCTTAGTGGCTGATCTATGTGAATACTCCTCCATAAAAGGGGATCATTCTGAACTGTAGATCGCAGAGATGTGCAAACCTTTTCAACGACAAAAAGATCACGCACACCAAGATAACCAAGGGCCAAGATCAAAGCTTCATGAGGAGCTCCTTCATCTTCATCAGAACTAACTTCACAATCTTGAAATTCTTCATTATCCTCATCAACAGAAACCGTATCTTCATTACGGAAACACAAACTATCCTCTACATTAGAAGAGGATTCAAGAGCAGCACCATCAGACACATCCCCTCCTTCCTTCACCTGAGAAGACCCACCAAATCCCCCTGATACACTTCCTTTACATTCAAACCCTGTGCTTCCAGGGAATGTTTGGAACATCATGGCATTGTTCCATATAAAATTCAATCCTGCAAACAACTGATAACTCCCATCACTGGTCCCTGTCCCATTTCTCACATAGTGGCCATAATCAACTTCCAAATCCTCAAGCCAACCAGTAATGGCAGTGAAAGTAGTCTTGATATCCATTCCGAACGGATCCGATGGCAAAAGATCAATAATGTCATTAGAAACAGACTCCTGGGAACCACATCGATCACCGCTCCTATTCCTTCCATAATCAAAGCAATCCTCCATTTCGAGATTTGAATGCCAAGATTTTGAATATCCATCTCCATTCTTCTCAGTAATACCTTCAACAAGGTACCCATTCGCCATTCTCATAGGAGAAACCAGATTATCTTCAGTCAAATGAGCAGGAAAGATAGGCCTATGGGAAAAATTCAACGCCATTGTTGTTCTATATACGACCAATCCCAATCTCTCTAATTTAAAATTTAAACAAAACCCTAAAATTCTTTTTCCCCTTATGCAAACCCTAAAATTGCTCTACCTCCTTTTTTTTTCTTTTTTTGGTCTTTTGGAGGGTTCTAAGATAAACAAGGAGCTAAAAAGAAAGAAAAAAGAAATGAAGAAAATTAAAAATCAAAGAAAGAAAGAGGAAGGAGGATAACTGTGTAGAGGATCTAATCTAACAAGAGAAACCCTCGATTTTGGATGGCAAACTAAAACAACGCACCAAAAATTTCACTGAGTTTATCTTGTACTATGATACATAAAAATCAACTACAATCCCCCAAAAGGGAAAAACAAAAAGGGTTCCGTAACCTAATTTATATATACACAAGAAAGAATCAATTAAATTTCTCAATCTCAAAATTTTTATATATTTTTTTTCAAATCCCTCAAAACTAACCTAACAAAAACTAGGGTTTGCAACGAATCAAGAAGAACTAAAGTAAAAAAGGATAAGATCAAAGGGGAAAACCTGGATTAAGCGATAATCAAATCTACATTCAGATTAAGATTACCACCAAAAACGAAGAAAACTCCCTAATTTCAACTCCCGCGAAACGCAATCGACAGAGATTATACCAAAAGCTCCCTTTCGGCTTCGGGATGATAAAACAACAAATTAAAATAAAAACCTCTTCGAATTTAGGGCCAAAATTGGTAATTTTTTTTATTTTTTCGGTTTTGGTGGTTGGTTGAGAAAATGGGAAACTCGATCCAAATTAAAGGTAGAGGGAGGAAGAAGGAAGAAGAGGTGTTTTCCTTTTTCTTTTTGTTTTTCTGTGTATTTTGGGGGTTCTGTCGAGAGCGAGAAAACGCGAGAGGGGAAATGGAGATGGAAAAAAAGGGAGAGAGAAAAAAAGGGAAATGAGTTTGTTTGTTTAGGCGGAAATGGAAAACGGTGAAATCGGTGAAAGTTTGCGTTTGGCTCCTATTTTTAGAAGTGTTAAAATGAAGGCGGTAAAATATCAAACGGAATTTATTTACGTATTTACTTTTACTGCTTTCGGCAGTGAGATGCGGCGGGAATCCTGATGTCACGCTCTTTGCCTTCCCTCCCTAATCTCTCTCGATCTTCTTAATCGGATAAAAGGGAAAGGGTGTTTATGACCGTTGGATTTGAATCGACGGTGGAGAACAAGGATTAGGGGGATAAGATGGGATTGTGATTGGTAGAGACAAAGAGAGAGAGTAGGTGGTCTTGGGAAGTTTGAATTGAATGAACCGAACGGGTCTGTGATTGGATGGATTTGGGATCTCCGCACCCGGACCCACTGCCAGTTGCGTGGATTTGGACTTATTGGATTGGGATCCGAACCCGTTTCCCCACCACAAGCACAAATGAAAGTTTTACACACATTAATTAATCTCTTTATGTTACTAAATTCTACTGGATTTTTCGTTTGGCAAAGATGGTACAATCTCTGAATTTTTTTTTTGGCACAATACAATCTCTGAATTTAAAGAGGTTTAATTTGGTCACCACTTGCGTCATTGGGGTGTACTCATCCAACCTTAACTAAGAATGATCTTGGATTTTTACTTCATTTCTTACATTCAAGATAAATTTTAATTTAACTTAAAAAAAAATCGATTTCGAGTCTTATATATATAATAGTAAAAAGTAAGTATAAATGTTGAATCGGACATTTAGTCTAGTGGTAGGATGTTGAACTATTAATTTCAATAACTTGGGTTCGATCTCTGAAAAGCTCAAATACCAAACAAATAATATAAATATTTGAGGACTTTCTCAATTTGGAGTTTAATTTAACTCAATCTCGAATTAGTTAGTATTTAAAGTGATTATACTTTTTATTAGATTTTCTATGTTATTTTCTTAAAAGAAAATTAGTCCTAAGATGAGCTGTGAGTTGGGGGTTGATTATGATATTTATCGTATGCCCCCTGATCAGGTTCTTCAAGTATTATAAGCGGATTGTCGTGGTGTAACTTACCTACATGGATTTAGTTTTAATTAGTAAGTTATTTATGCTTTGCTGTACTAAAAAAAAAAAAGAAAATTAGTCAATTCAAATACTAGCTAATCTAGTCTAGAAAATAAAAAGATTTGACTCGACAATTTTTATTTCCAATGATAGTGTTACTTTTGTCTAGTCTAGAGGTAGAAGGAAATAAATTGATTTTTACATTGAAATTGAGGACACGCAATAAGGAAAAAAATAATCATGTTAGGGAAAATGTATGAGCTAAGTATTTATGATGTGAAATGAAATGAAAATAATATAATCATAGCTCGTTGAAAAAGTCCAATTATCATACTTGGTGAGGAAGTCTAAGACTGCGTGCCGATCACGGTTAAAGTTGAAAAAAATAAAAATAAAACACGTAAAAAGGTTCAACAAATCCACCACCTTCTTCAATCCACGTCCGCTTACTTATATTAGAGTAACTTTCTAAAATTTGCTATAGGAATCCTCCAAAACTTGCAGCCATAAATAACCCCTTGCCCAAGGGAAGGAAATCTCAATGAAAATTCTTGAAGCCAAAGCTTGGAACATAGTTGTCATTGAGATTGACCAAATTCCTTCCCTCGACCGCACAAGCACTTGTCTTGCCTCCACCTGTTTTCCCTCGTCATCAAGCCAAATAACCGATTCCTCAGTGGGAAAGTTACCTGCAAAGTTACCAAAGGCATATACAAATACAGTAGCTTCGGCTGCAGGGAAACGAAAGCTAAAAAGCCGAAGTCAAGGATGAAATAGAAAACTGCAAATGACACCAATAGATCTTACGTAGCAGATGAACAATAGTAAGCTTATTAGAAAAAGAAATGCCTTTGAAGAGTAAGCATAGGTCAAAAGTCAACAACACCACCGAGGAATGAACAACCACAAGAAACGAAAAAGAAACAATTAGGTATAACAAAATCCAATTAAATTATAAAACAGTTACAACTCCTCCATGCAATCCTCAAAATTTGTAGGTTTTTATAGGAAGCCACCAGCGCAAATAAGTTAAACTATCAAAGACTAATGAAGAACACAAAATGTTAAAAGGGAAACAAATTGAAAATTTCTGACCCCAAAAATGTTGTTTACTCAGTAATTAATTTCTCGACTTCTTTCTTGACGACTTAGACTGAGGTCTGGATTGCTCGGCATTTTTGGAACTTGTAGCTTGGTTTGGTTTTGCGTTAGAAGTGTTAGAACTGGTGGCTGAGGCACTAGCTTCACTCTTTTCTCTAACAACTGCACCCTGAGAGCCTCTGACCTGAGCTGCTCTCTTATCCTTTCTCTTGGGTCTGTAACTTGACCTTTCTCTCTTGGGGAGCCATCTTTCTGGATCTGGTGGAGGACCTGGATTTGCCGGGTCGAACCCTTTGGGATACCTTGGCTTTCTCTTCCTCTTTTTCTTTTGTTTCTCCTTAGTCTTACCTTCCTCTTGAGCTTCAGCAAGCTCCCCATGAGGAGCACCTTCAATATGTTTTGCCCCAGAAGTTTTCTCCAAACCATCCACATCAACACCTTTCAAACCAGGTAATGGCTTCAGTTGCTTCTCATAAGCTTCAGCCTTGTCAACATTCACATGAGCAACGGTAGTTATCAGCCCAACTAATGCCTCTATGCTTCCATGACTTTTCACAAGCTCCTCATAAAGATGGGCAGCTTCCTCTTCTTTGCCATGCCTGAGCTTGAAGGAAGCAGCCTCTTGCATTATAACACTGAGGTGGTCATCCTCAGTCATAGCAGTTTTCCACCATTTGATTGCAGAGTCAAGCACATCAGCTGCACCATTTATGTCTCCAGCACGTTCTTTTAGAGCAACAAGAGTGGCAACAGTGGCCGGCATGTGCTGGATATCAGGCACTTTGGAAAGGGATTCAGCTGCAATTTGGTGGTGGCCAGCAGCAGCAGCTACTTGTGCCCTTGCTAAGAAAATGACCTTTGATTTTTCAGGGAATTTCTCAGCAAATTGACCCAACAATTCTTCAGCCTTCCCTGCCTTGTTTTCTCTCACCAAGACAGCAGCTTGAAGCAGTACTGGCAACACACTGTCAGGAAACAGCTCAGGCAAAATAGCAACAATTTCCCGAGCCTGTAGAATTTCACCAAAAAACATAAGAGGGAGAAATGGAAACTTAATAACCTGGCTGTCTTGGTTTTCAAAAGAAAAAAGGCTGAAATAAAATGCAGATCAAAAGTGAGAACTGCAAATTGCAAAATGAAAACCTGATCCATCTTATTTGCATGAAGAAGTAGAATGACTCTAGTTGCATATATTGTCTCCTTTTGTTTAGGTGAAAGCTTCAAGTCAATAGACTGTTCAAGCTGAAACTTCTGTGAATCTTTCTCTTTAAGCCGATCAAGTTTCCTTAAGCTGTCAGATATGTCTTTTGGACCTTTCACTGCAATAAGGTTGTTCACTGCCACTGCCAGTGATAGTTCATCTGCCAGATTTCGGTTTACGATATCTGTATAAGCTCCAAGAGCCTCTTGTGAGTGACCAAGGAGCTGATAAAGATAAGGTAGATTAGTGGCTACTGGGTAACCTCCCTCACAAAAAGAAGAAGAAAGGACGGACAATTAGGAAAATGCTGGCATGATGCTGTTTGTTTTACCTGTTGAACATAAGCTAACTGGACAGAAATTGGAGCTAGTTCAATCTCTATATCGTCATCAGCATAGTTCTCCTCCGTCAGTGTCTCCTGACCAATTCTAACAGAAATAGATGAAGAGAAGAAAAGGCACATATATCAGCACTTAATCTCAGTAAATTTACAATGCTCAACTATTGGCATACATCTTAATAATTATGTATTTCCAAAAAGACAGTTAAGAAAGCAAAACAAATTGAAAAATCTGAACTTTAAGAAAATTGTTGATTAGCACATTAACATTACAAGCTATACTAAGGGGCTGTTTGATAAACCATTGAAAATTTTCAAACCATTGAAAATGAAAATTTTCAATGCTTTAATTTTTTCAATGCGTTTGATAATTAAGGTTAGAAAATCACTTAATTTAAAATTTTCAATGAAAAAGCATTGGAAATAAAAAGTAGGTCTAAGGTTACTTTTTCTATTCAACAATATTATTTATGGAAAGATTCAAACATTAAGGTTATGTCCTTTCCTTTTATCAATAATTCTTTCCTTTTTTAATTGTTACCAATGTATTTTTGAAATATTTTCATACAAAAATATCAACAAAAATATTTTTCTTACATTTCAAATTAAGTAACTTATCAAACAGTCTTTTCACCACAAATTCAGTATTAAATTCAGTAGCCATGAAGATTCAATACTTAAATTTTCAGTACTTAATTTAACAAACAGAGCCTAACTCTTGACCACAAGGATGGAAATTAGAGCCTAAGAAAAGAGACCTAAAAATTAAGTTCCCTCCAAAGCCAAGTTTACAAGAGTGGAAAACCTTAATCTGAGATGAAACTAATACAACCGTGATTATGATATAAGTTCAAACTTCTAACTTTGCTTTTCAACATTACCTATTTTTCCATCTGTAGAAGAATTGGTCGAATATAATCATCTGACAGTAAATTTAATGCCTACACTTTTTCTGACATAAATCTTCTTTATTTAGTGCTTAATGAAAATAAAGGGGTGACCCTTTCAAAATGATGTCAGATGGAAAATGCAAGTCAAGTAAGATAATTCAAAAATAAATCAACTACAAGTACAGATAGTTAGCATATTAACGTTTAATATACTTTTATAAAGGTAAATTTCAAAATACAGAATATGTACCCAAAAAATCCATTGCAACATAATTACTAGCCCTAAGCAATCTGTGGTTCTACTAATGACATTAAACATTAAGCATTCCACCAACAACTATGAACTTACTACAAAAGTTTTCTCATTGTAATAAACATCTAAACAGAGAACAATGCAGTACCTTCGTGCTGCGAGCAGCAGTTGTTCAGCATCCTTATGCTTGTTTCCTTCAATTAAAGAACAAGCAACATTATATGCCAACTCAAAGCTGCTCGTGGCCTTAACCCTAAGGCTGTCCAAAGTTCCTTGAACTTCAGAAGCCCTTCCAGCTGAAACCAAACCAGCAACCAAATTTATTTCCGAGAGATCAACCTTTGCTCTTTGAAGGTTACGGTAGATATCAACACAAGCATCCATTTTTCCTAGACGATATAGAACCTGAGATTCTAACAACATGCTTGGTTGAGTCTTATCTAGCTTCTCCAAAATAGCCAAAGCTTCATCCAACTTGTTTTGTCTGTATAGGCAATATGCCTTAGAAATAGCAAAGATAGAAAAGGAAGAATATCAATACAAAAAGGCAATTCTTTGGAACATTAACGCAGCCAAGATATGTTGATCTATTATTTGATCAGATAACTAAGGGTAGCTTTATGCTATTATCTTTTTGCTTTCTATTCACTTTTCAGTTTTAGACTAAAAACAAGCACAATCCATCAATTAATAAAATCAAGAACTTAAACTTTGAATCATGAAAACTTGTAACTTCATAAATCATTCTACTAACATTATATCAATCAAAGTCAATGCAATTAATTTCATCTTTTATCAATGTTGATTTTTGCTATTTAGTTTTGGCTTTCTCATAAATTGCTAAGAGGCAACAGCAATAATAATGTATGATTGAAAATGTATGTACATTAAAACATAACTGCTCCATGTATAATAGTAAAATCCTACATTTGCTATTTATAAACTTTAAATAAGTTCAAATCAGTAGCAGCATTCAACTAAG